GATAGCAACAGAGGCGGAGAACGACAGGGAAAAAACCGCGGAACCTCCAGGAAAGATCAAGGAATTATTGAAGGAGTTCCAAGACATTCTTCCGGACGATCTTCCGAATGAGCTACCGCCATACCGAACGCATCAACACGAGATCGTAGAGGAACCAGGTTCGAAGCCGGCCTTCCGAGCACCATATCGGCTCAGCCCTATGGAGCTGACCGACATGAAAAAACAAATTGAGTATCTCCTAGCGAAAGGACTCATCCGACCATCCACTTCGCCGTACGGTGCCCCAGTACTCTTCACACCGAAACCGGACGGAAGCCTGCGCATGGGCATCGACTACCGAGCTCTTAACAAGCAGACCATCAAGAATAAATATCCGATACCGCGAATCGATGACCTGCTTGACCAGCTTCGGGGAGCTACGGTATTTTCCAAACTGGATCTGCGGTCCGGATACTAGCAGATACGGATGGCGGACAAATCTATCCACAAAACTGCTTTCCGAACTCGGTATGGATCGTACGGGTATTTGGTAATGCCGTTCGGACTTACCAACGCACCGGCAACGTTCCAAGCCAAAATGAGCCACATTCTACGACCACTTTTGGACGAGTGCGTGGTGGTATACCTGGACGACATACTCATCTACTCGCGCGACATGAAGCAGCACGTCGAACACCTGCGACGCGTCTTCGAAATTCTTCGACGAGAACGATTCTACGTCAAACTGTCCAAGAGCGAATTCGCCCTTGAGAAGGTCCAGTTCCTAGGACACATGGTGAGCGCTCAAGGAGTTCACGTCGACCCCAAGAAAATCGAAGCCGTACGTACGTGGAAGACACCCGAGAACGTGAAGGAGTTGCAGCAGTTCCTAGGCTTCGCTAATTATTACAACAGGTTCGTGCCACAGTATGCGAAACTCGCAGCACCACTCACGAATCTGCTGAGGAAGAACACACCCTACAAATGGGAGCCAAAGCACCAGGAAGCCATGGAGCAGCTGAAGCAAGCACTTACATCCGCACCAGTACTCATCTTGCCAGATCCCGAACGCGACTACGTCATCGAAGCTGACGCCAGCGACCAGGCAGTGGGAGCAGTCTTAATGCAAGACCAGGGAAATGGACTGCAACCAATCGCCTACCTCAGCAAGAAATTGCATGGAGCAGAATTAAACTACACGATACACGACAAAGAGGCCCTTGCCATCGTCATCGCCTTCAAAGCATGGAGATGTTATCTCGAAGGACGAAGGACAACCGTCTACACCGACCACTGCAGCCTGAAATACTTGAAGACACAACCCAACCTCTCTAGGCGGCAAGTCCGGTGGATCGACTTCCTCGAGACACACTTCCACTACGACATCGTGTACAAGCCCGGCCACAAAAACAAAGCAGACGCTCTCAGCTGACCTGCACACGTTGCAGCTATTCAGATCGAAGGGATGAATCCACTACTCAAGGGACTCTTCACACACGGGTACACCATCGACCCCGAAATTCCCTTGGCAGAGAAACGAGTGGGACAGTGACATCGTGTACCGGAAAGGATCAACAAAAATCTGGGTACCCAATTACCCTCCTTTGCGCCAGTTACTACTCGAAGAATACCACGACGTCCTCTACGCCGGACACTTCGGTAGCAACAAGACACTCACCGGTATCGCAAAGCACTACTACTGGCCCCACTTGGCAGAAGATGTTCAGAAATTCGTCACCTCGTGTGATACATGTCAGCGGATGAAGAGCAGCAAGCAGAAGAAGGCAGGTCTACTACAGCCTCTTCCTGTCCCATAACAACCATGGCAAGTGGTTAGCCTGGACTTCATCACCAGGTTACCACCTACCACCAACAGTCATGACGCCATCCTTGTCATCATCGACAAATTCTCCAAAATGGGACACTTCATCTCGACACACACGCTAGCACGCACCGAAGAAACATCACAACTCTTCGTTCGATACATCATCTCACAGCATGGCATTCCAACTACACTCATCTCCGACCGAGACCCCAAGTTCACCAGCAAGTTCTGGAAGGAACTTATGTCTCTCCTCGGGACCAAACTCGCCATGTCATCTGCTTACCACCCGCAGACAGACGAACAGACCACCCACCCACTCACACCACAAAAACCGACAGCATCAGCTACAGTCCAACCTGCACATGATTTCATCACAACCATGCATCAGCTTTGGGATCGGACCCACAAGCGCCTCCTCGACATTCAACAGCAACAGAAGCGCCAGGCCGATCGCCATCGCAACGACCACACCATCACGGTGGGAGACCAGGTGCTTCTTGACACCCGCAACCTGGACATCAGCCACCTCCCATCTAAACTTCGACCTCGCTTCTGTGGACCTTTTCTCGTTGAAGCACAGGTCACTCCTGTTACCTTCCGCTTACGCCTGCCAGCTACCTGGAAGATTCACAACGCCTTCCATGTCCAACTTCTGAAGCCCTATCGGGATCCGAACACGATCTTCGTCGGACGCCAACCGCCGCCGCCGCCGCCCGTCCTCGTCCAGAATGAACCCGAGTACGAGGTCGAGTCCGTGCTTGCACACCGCCGTCGTCGGAATGGCACCGTGGAGCTTCTCATCTGTTGGAAGGGTTATGATCCTTCTAAGGACAGCTGGGTACCTGAGACCGACATGGGTAACGCCGGTCGTCCTCTGCATGACTACCTTGTCAAGCAGGGTGTTACTTCTACCACCCAGCTTTGAGGGGGGGAAGTGTGAGAGTACAACCCCGTTACACCACTGGTTCCTTTTTTCTACTTCCTTCCTATTTTCATTTCTCTTTTTATCTCATCTTATTTGGTTTCCTAGTCTCCCTTTTCCATTAACCTTAACTTATCGTGCTATTATAGTTATATCACCGACCAGGCTTGGGATGTACTGGGCGCTATATCTAGCGTAATCCTGCTGTAATCCCTTAAAAGCCAATAGCCTCGCGTGGCTATACGCAGGGTGATTCTATCTTCTAGAAGCGTCTATTCCCTTAGGATAAGATAAACCTGGTTACCTGATGTACTCTGGAAGTATAAAAGCGCCTTGTACTGATCGATAGTGCAATCTTTCCTCGAGTCATTCGATCCTGTAACAGGCACTTCACATGATGCCATGCGAGTTCCGCGGAGTTTCCGTAGCTCCGATACGTTCTGATGCTCTGTTGCTCTTGTGGTGACAGATTTCGCATGAGAACTGTGTACACCAGCAGCGACTGATAAGTGAAGATTTCCTGCTCCTTTGCAGTGCCATTGCTTGGGAATGGCAGGGACCCGCTGAAGTATCCCAGGAGGTGCGCAGCCTCCATCAGCAGCTCGAACTCAAAACTCCAGGTAAAGAAGTCGTGCCTGTTGAATGGTGAAGATGTGTGCAGTTTGATCACATGTGAAAACTGCGCCTGGAGACTCAATATCTTGTTTGGTGTCTGTTGTGATGCAGCTGCTGTCGGTTGAGCACGGGGCGGTATGAACTCGAACGTCCCCGGCGAAGAGTGATAAGGCGCAAAGGTAGGCGCCTGATTGTGTCGCCCGAATGATGAGTTGTCGAGGCTCATTGGTGCTAATCCCATGTTTCCCCCGTTTCTCTGTGTTGAATGCGCAGGTGTCCTCGTATGCTGCTGCTGGTCAAAATGCGACATGAAGCTGAAGATCCTTTCCTTAAGGTTCGGGTCCACGCTTGAAGAGGGTGAAGGGGTCACCATTTCTGGTACCCTCCCTGTTGTTTCTTGAGCAGCGCCAGTCTCAGTTTGTAGTCCTGAAGTGTGTAGTCCAGAGTTGCCGGGTTGAGTGTCTTGGGTGTTGGGTGAGCCCGTAGAAGATTTCTTGCCCTTGTTGTCCATGACTTGTAATCGATGAATCTCTTGATGTGCTTGACTGTAGATAGAGCGTAGTTGCTGGGAGTTTGGTCTCTGACCAGCTCTCATACCATGTTGGGCTGAGAAAAGCCCTTATGATCTTTCCAGAGGCTAAGTCCCATTTGTACAAGGTTTGAGTAGTGCAGGGGAAGTATTGAGTAGTTGAACCCTTGCACTAGTACGTGAGAGCAAGTGATTGATTAAAAGAAACAAGCATACAGCAATATATAGAAAATAGGAAAGTAAAGCAGTTGTAGAATACAGTTGAAGGAACGGTTATCGAGTCGCACAGCGACTCGATTGTCGGTTTGGTTACCACCCTTGCAGTTGTAACGGTCAGTCGCAACCTCCGGTTGCGACCCTTCGAGTCCTTTTCGTCCTTTCGTGTTCTTTCGTCCATCTCCTCGTGTAACCTCCGTTGACTCGCGTACCCGTTACAACTTTCTTCGAGTGTAGTGTTACACTTCAGAAACGCTCAAGTCCTCGAGATATTTCCAACAACCCTGCTGCAGTAAGAGTACTTCTAGTTCAGCCCTGACCCGACAAGGTATCGCCGAAATCACACTGAAACAGAAGAACGGCCCGCATATTCGACAACTTTCTGTGTCCAGCTGGCGTCGCACTGCATATGTGATTTTGGCGAAGGGCTAGTCAATCCCCTCACACCTGCTCCAGCTTGCGTCGGACTGCATGCGTGATTCTGGCGAAGGGCCAGTCACGCCTCTCACACCTGCTCCAGCGCGCCTCGGACTACAGAACGTGCGTCATTTTGGTGAAGGGACAGTTATGCCCGGTACATGGGTTGCACAATTAATCGAGGTTGCGCAATCCTGTCTGGTTACCGAGGGTGTTGAACCTCGGATGGCGTGTGAAAGATGGGTTGGACTGAATGTTGTTGGGTTATTTTGCCAGTGGCGCAAGCCGGGTTGTGGTCTCGACGCAAAGCGCAACCCATGTACCACGCCCTCACATGTGCTCCAGCTCGCCTCGGACTTCCTGCGTGATTTTAGTGAAGGACCGATAATGTCCCTCATCAGGCTTTTTACGCTGATTTTGCTTTTTTTTCAGGGTGTTCTCTTGTACCGACCCTGATGGATCAGCCTTGAAAACGAAAGAACCAGGGCCAACCAGTAAGAAAACCACTACCAAAAACTGATTTTCAGGGTGTTTTTTTAGATCGACACTGATCAATCAGCGTGGCCTAAAACGAATCTGAGGGCCTGTCCCTCACACACGCTAAGAAAGCTGGAAAATTACAAGTTACTGTCCAGTGGACAGGGTGATAATTTTAGTACCCTGTACATTCAGGGTACTCATCGTTTTTTACTAATTTACCCTGATTTTCTAAGGGTGACGAAAATTTTACCCTAAGAGACAGGATAATTTTTTTAGGTACACTGATTACTAAGGGTGCCCCTAAACCAATTTTGAGCCCTGCTCAGGGGGAACCTGTCCGAACCAAATGGGCCTAGAGGCATGCAATGCACACCAGGTGACAGACGACGCGTACCAGTTGAAAGTGGGCAACACGAAACGAAGTATTGATAATTATGTGTGACAACACACATGCATAATTACGGCTGATTAATTTCATACAAACAGCATGTCTGAGATCGTGCCGCACGACAACACCATACCCCCTTACCCCATTGGCTTACTGCCATGCTCTCTATTGCTGCTACCATCTCGCTGTCACTCCATGCCAGTCTGTTGCACCAGGTCGCAAGCACGCGAAATTGCGAGGCGGCAGAAGGTTGGCTCGCAGCATGTCAATCTTCCCTTGTGACGTGATCCCATGCCAGCTTGGCCCGACACTGCACGGAGCACCAGGAAGAGGGGGATCATGGCATACAGTGAACCAACAGAAAGGACGTGCATGCACATGCTTGTGTGCCATGATACACAGCCGCACACATGCATCCCATGCACACATTCACCACAATACTGCATCCAGTATCACACTGCAGACTGTACAGTAAACACAACCAGCCTGACACCATACACTGCAGCACGGACCGCACAGCACTAGCAAACGCCACCAGCCGGCACACCAATAGCACACTCAGGCCAGGCCTCAGTATCCGTGCATGCCATGCGTGAGCAGCCATCCTCTTACAGCGATGTCAAAGTCCCCTGCGCGCCTGAGTCTCTCCAGCTCCGCCACCACGCCCACTCCCCGCAGAGCAGCAGCGCGGTTACCAGCGCCCAGGCAGGCGGGACGGCAGAGGTTGGCCACACACCACAGCGCCGCCAGGCGCAGAGTGGTGCAGCCGCGCAGGCGCAGGAGGTGCAGGATGAGCGGGGGGGATGGGCGGTGGTGAGAGGGCAGGGAGGGGGTGCTGCTGGTGGGTTGAGCTGGGCTCGAAGCAGAGGCATGTTGCCGGTGCTGCTGCGGAACTGGCTTGTCAGGGATTTGGTTCTTCTCCTCTCCAGCAGCACAGGCGGCCGTTTCCCTCTGTGCTGCCTGCCCTGGTATGGCAGGCCATGGCCCTTGCAGCGCCTGCTGCAAATCCCCTGCTTCTGACACTGCCATCGCCTCTTCCCCGCTATCTCCCTTCCTGCTGTCGCCGCCACTATCAGCAGCACCAGCGTCCAGCCCAGAGGCTCCAGCAGCACCACCATTGCCTGCACCCGCCTTCTCTCCATCCGCTCCCACCTCCCTTTCTGCTCCAGGCAGTGCTGTGCAACCCCTTCCACCTGCCTCTTGAGTCATCTCACGCTCTTTCACCTCTGCGCCTGGCTCCTGATGCCTTTCAAACTCCCTGATTTCTGCCACGGGCAGCAGCAGCAGCGCCAGCACACTGTCCTTGTCCTCCGCACGCCCCGCTGCTACGTTGCTCAGTGCCAGCATCGCCTGCCGGGAAAGAGGGGAAGGGGATTAGGCAGCAAGAGCATTGTGCTTCTGCAGACCAGAAAGGAGGGCAGCCAGAAACAGCCAGCACGATGAAGAGCACGGCTGCAGGGGCACCAATTCCCCCCCATGCCCGCCACGCACCTCCACGCGCACTGCATACTGCGCTCGCCGCACCGCCTGCAGCGCTGCCTCCGCATCTTTCCCACCCTCTTTCGCTTCCCCTCTTGCTGCTCCTCTGCCTTCCCCGCTAGCTTCCCCCCTGGCTGCCGCTGCTCTCAGTGGCACCAGTCTGCTCGGCAGTACTCGGGCCACCAGCAGTCGCAGCAGCCCGCCCTGCAGTGCGCGCGCCACCAGGTGCGCGTCCGCCTCGGGGCCGTGTGCCACGTTGCGCAGCAGCGCCGCCGCCTGCAGCTGGATGGAGGGTGAGGGGGCTGGAGGCCATGTGGGGGATGGGAGGAAACGTCCATGGATGGGGTTTGGAGAAAGGACGCAAGGAGGGGGGATAAGGAAGTATGGAAACCAGGGGGAGAAGGCTGGAGAGATGACGAGCAGCCGAGCAGCCGAAGGAAAGAATGCGGCATGTCAAACGAGCTCTGGCTGGAAAAATAAAGTGGCCAGGACCGTTCACGGACCAAGCACAGACAGGGATATGCTCCTGGCACAAGGAGCACCCGCTCATAGCAGCAGTAGGATAAACATTCTGAAGATATAAAAACAGATGTGTTTGAAGCGACATGTGCGCGGAAACATGGAGTCATGCACACACAAGAGGTAGGTGGCCGCCAGACGCCCACCTAGCAGCAGAGCGGGCAGCGCGGGCGGCAGCAAGAGGGTGAGAATGTCCTCCTTGACGGCCGTGCCAGCTGACAGCGCCACATTGCGCAGCGCCATCACACTGCGCTCCACCAGCTCCACACTCCCCTCCACAATTCCCTCCACACCCCCCTTCACACCCCCCTCCCCAACCCCTTCCACACCCCCCTCTCGCACTGCCCCCTCCCCCCGTGCTGCCAGCGCTGCCATGCGTGTCAGCAGCCCTGCCTGCCTGAGCGCACCCGTGTCTCCACGAAAGTCCAGCAGCAGATTGGCCAGCGCTGATGCCGCTGCTAGCTGAGACGAAGAGAGAGAGAGAGAGAGAGAGAGAGAGAGAGAGAGAGAGAGAGAGAGAGAGAGAGAGAGAGAGAGAGAGAGAGAGAGAGAGAGAGAGAGAGAGAGAGAGAGAGAGAGAGAGAGAGAATGAGCCTCATTGTCACCCTACATGCCTAGCTTGTACATGGACCGCTTGAGAGAGAATGAGACAAGGAAGCAAAGAGAGGAAGGTTGCAGGGGTTTCAAAAAAGAGAGTAAAGGATTAGGTGTGGCCCCTAAAGAATAGCAGCAGATGACCCAGCTTTGACAGCGCTGCTAGCTGGGGGCAGGCGGGGAGGTGGGGGGGAGAGAAAAACGGGGGGCGGTTTGGGCTGGGTCGAAGTGAGGAGTGTGGCAGGATGGGAGAAATCCAGCGAATGGGGGAAGCAAAACGAGTACGCGGCATGGGGGAAGCAAAACGGCACGCGGACAAGAAGCGAGGCATGAGGGGGCGGACCTGGGCGGGGGCAGAGAGAGCGGACCTGGGCGGGGGCAGACAGAGCGGACCTCGGCGGGGGCAGAGAGAAAGGACCTGGGCGGAGGCATGAGAGGGCGGACCTGGGCGGAGGCATCGGGGGAGGAGGCGAGTTGAAGCACGGAGAGGATGACAGGCGCTGTGGACAGACCTGTGCGCAGATTCTGAGGCGGGGAGAGAGGGAGAGACACCAGAAAGAAGAATGCGGGCAGAAAGAAGAATGCGGGCAGAAAAAACAACACCTCTGACATCATTAGATACACCTATGGCGCCCACAAATGAACCCCGAACCTGACACTAGAAACACACCCCTGACACTACAGCAAGACAACAAGAGCCGCACAAGAGGAGCTAAGAGTGTTCACACTGCGTACGGTGGATTGCAGAATGTGGAATGCGGCGTGGGGTGTAAAAGCAGGGCTAGCAAGAGCAGGAGGTGAGTCATGCCTTGATGGAGTGAGTCATGCCTTGATGGAGTGAGTCAGGCCTTGATGGAGTGAGTCATGCCTTGATGGAGTGAGTCATGCCTTGATGGAGTGAGTCATGCCTTGATGGAGTGAGTCATGCCTTGATGGAGTGAGTCATGCCTTGATGGAGTGAGTCATGCCTTGATGGAGTGAGTCATGCCTTGATGGAGTGAGTCATGCCTTGATGGAGTGAGTCATGCCTTGATGGAGTGAGTCATGCCTTGATGGAGTGAGTCATGCCTTGATGGAGTGAGTCATGCCTTGATGGAGTGAGTCATGCCTTGATGGAGTGAGTCATGCCTTGATGGAGTGAGTCATGCCTTGATGGAGTGAGTCATGCCTTGATGGAGTGAGTCATGCCTTGATGGAGTGAGTCATGCCTTGATGGAGTGAGTCATGCCTTGATGGAGTGAGTCATGCCTTGATGGAGTGAGTCATGCCTTGATGGAGTGAGTCATGCCTTGATGGAGTGAGTCATGCCTTGATGAAGTGAGGCGCACCTTGATGGGAAGTGAAGTGAGGCGCACCTTGATGGGAAGTGAAGTGAGGCGCACCTTGATGGGAAGTCAGGCGCACCTTGATGGAGGAGTGAGAGCAGGAGGAGCAAGAGCAGGAGGAGTGAGAGCAGGAGTGAGAGCAGGAGGAGTGAGAGCAGGAGTGAGAGCAGGAGGAGTGAGGCGCACCTTGATGGAACGCGAGAGAGAGTGCAGGCACGAGCATGCAGCTGTGCGCAGCGCCGTGGGCTGGGAGGCGTCCAAGCAGCGCAGCAGAGGCGGGAGGGCCTGCGCCCATGGGGCGGGTGGTGGCGAGAGGAGGGGAAACAGGGAAGCGGGTGGGATGGAGATGGTTACTGGGGCTGAAGGTAAATGGGTATCGTGGGCACAGGAGTGGTGAGGCGCCTCGTCACATGCCCCCCCCTTGCCCGCATAGCACGACCTGCCATGGGCACCCAAGGCACACACACATCACCTTGAGGTCAAGCGCATGCCTAGAAGTGGCGTGCTCCGCGCGTTGACACCTCCCGCCTTGACGCCTCTCGCCTTGACGCCTCTCACCTTGACGCCTCTCACCTTGACGCCTCTCCCCTTGACGCCTCTCCCCTTGACGCCTCTCACCTTGACGCCTCTCCCCTTGACGCCTCGCACCTTGACGCCTCTCACCTTGACGCCTCTCCCCTTGACCCCTCTCACCTTGACGCCTCTCCCCTTGACGCCTCTCACCTTGACGCCTCTCACCTTGACGCCTCTCCCCTTGATGCCTCTCACCTTGACGCCTCTCACCTTGACGCCTCTCACCTTGACGCCTCTCACCTTGACGCTGCTCACCTTGAGGTCCAGCGCCTGTCGACGAATGGCCTCCCACGACGAGCACAGCACCGCCAGTGCGCCCGCCGCACCCTCTCTCTGCACCGCATTGCGCTCCACTAACGCCCCCGCCTCCCCCTCACTCTTCCCTTTCTCCCCTCTCCTCACACTCCCCCCGCCAACCTCACTCCTCCACCCCAACCCCTCGTCACCCCCCCTCCTCCCCTCGCTACCCTCTCTCCCCTCTCGCCCCTCCCGCCCCTCCCGCCCCCCTCGCACACTCCCCCCCTCGCCCCAGGCCATCCATCTGCGTGAGGGAAACTCCACAGTCTCCCTCCTCCCCACACCACTCAGCCAGGCTCGGGTGGCCCTAGGCTCAGCAAAAACCAGGCCATTGGAGCTAGGTTCGGCCAAGCCTACCGAGCCAAAAGTGACAACAGCTGGCGACCGAGAAAAGAGGGGCCTGGTCGCAGCAGCGGTGGGGGGAGAGGCGGAAGGGGGGATGAGAGGAGAGGCGAAGGACGGGAGGGAGGGGATGGGAGGCGAGGAGGAGGGGAGGGGAATGGCAGAGGGGATGAGAAGGGAGGAGGAAGGGGAAGGGGAGGGGGAGGAGGGGCGGAGCAGGGCAACGAGCTCGGAGGCGGCGTCAGCATTGAAGGCAGCCCACTGAATGTCCTCGCGCCCCTCCAACAGCTGCTGCAGCAGACGTGGCGCCTGGTCCCCTACCTGGGGGGTGGCGGGGGGTGGGGGGCGGAAGTGGGGAGATCATGGAGGGGGGTTGCAGGAGACGACAGAAATGTGGAGGTTGAGGGAATGCATACACGTCCTGCTGATACATAGTTGGTGGCTCATGAACACGTGGAACACTCTCCAACGAAATAATAGAGCGACAACGGAAGGAGGAGAAAGGGAAGAGAGAGGGGCAAGAGTGAGGAAGAGCGCACCTGGTCTGTATGGTGCAGCAGGTGGATGAGCACCACCAGCACCACCGCCGCCACGTTGACGTCCACCGACGCCCCCACGCCCATGCCCACACCCACTCCCACGCCCACCCTCATCAGCCGCTCGCCACTGACAGCAGCAACAGCAGCAGCAGCAGCAGCAGCAGGGTGAGGGGTGGCAGGCGTGTGAGTGGCTGTGAGGCTGGGATGCAGCGACTGCCCTGGTAAGAGGACCCCACACACTGCATGCTGCTGCTGCTGCAGTGGCAGCTGCCCTTGGGGATGTTCATATCGGCTTGACAGCTGGTTTGCCCCTTGCTGCTGCCACTGGCCCCGAACGCCCTCCTTCAACCCACCCATGGCATCCCTCTTCACTCCCACCCCTCGCCCACCCATCCTCCCACCGCCATCGATGGCGGCGCTGCGAGGGCCGCTCACATCCGCTGCAGCGCCTCCCATGGCAGGCGCACCGCCGCCCCAGGCACACGCAGGAGCAGAGGCCGTGCCTGCAGTGTCTGGTGCAGCAGCAGGCGCGGCAGCAAGAGAGGGTGCGGGGTGGGAGAGGAGGGCGCGGGGCACGGCCCTGACAGCCCCGCCCAGCAGCCAGAGGGCGCGCTCCACGTGCAGCAGGCAGCGGCACGCGTTCAGGCGCGTGGCGGGGGACTGGTGGCGCGCCAGCGACACTATGGCCGCCATGGCTGCTCCCCCTCCCAGGTCTGCAGGGGTGGAGGGAAACCAAGGACGCAACGCAAGCGCAGGGGTGGTGTGGTGTGAGGGAATACTGCAAAAGAGGCTATGTGATACGAGTGAGTCAAACTTCAAGCGATAACATATTAATTGTAACCAATAAAGCGCATGAGCACCGAGGGATAAGCGCATGAGCACACACAGAGGGCAACAGGAGAGCACACCAACGAGAGCAGCGGCCTGCTGGTGGTTGTCTCTGACGGCAGCTGCCAGCGCGAGCAGCGCGGTGTCGGTGCGGCGGGGGGACGAGCCGAGGAGACGCGTGAGAGACAGCATGCCGCCCGCCGCTGCCAGTGCCGCCTGCTGATGGGACGACTCCACGCAGTGCGCCACCACACTGGCTGCCACCTGGGGGGGAAAGGGGGGGGGGGGAGGAGCAGAGGAGGGGAGAGAGTTGGATGGGTATGTGCGAGATGCAGTGGCGTGTGAGGGATTGCGAGAGGAAGGGAGATGATGGGGGTTGTGCCGCCTGTCGCGGAGATGACTCCACGCCGTGCACCAACACTCGCACTTGCACTGCTCCACCTGGGGTTGGGCGAGGGGAGGGCGAGGGTGAGGGGGAGGGGGGGGCGGGGTCAGGAGGGGGCGGACAGAGAGATGCACTTGCAGTGCAGTGTGAGGTGTTGAGTCGAAGGAAACTACAGTTCGAAACAATGAAGAGAGGAGGATGCAGGCAGTGAGGAGAGAATGCGCACGGCATGAGAATGCGCACGGCATGAGATGCGTGCTGAGAGCCTGCTTCCAACACCTCCACGCCCAGATTAGTGCCCTCTTGAGCATCCATTGTAACCCACCTCTGACACGGTCTCGCTGGGGGAGGCCAGCAGGGAAGGCAGCAGGCTGAGGGCGGGCGAGAGCCACTCCCCTGCACCACTGCTGCCACTTGGCAGCGCACTACTGGACTGGAAGATCAAGCGCAGAGACCTTGCAGCTGCCTCCACCACCTGGCGGGGAGGAGTGCAAAGAGCACGGATGATTCATGTGTGAGCAGAGCAGCAAGCATTGGAAGGCCGGGGAGCGGAGGATTTGACAGAAGGGAGTATGCAGCAGCATAAGGGCAGAGCAGGGATGGACTCGGATGGCAGAGAGAGTGGCGCAAGGGTTGTGGGCCGCGCGTGTGCGGCAGAAAAGCTGTGAGGGGAAAGAGTGGCAGAAGTGTGAGACAGGTTGAGTGAGCGAGAGGATGAGTGAGCGAGAGTGAGTGCGGCAGAAAGAGCAGGCTGGGAGGTGCGGAGGCACGTGGCAAATGGGAGAGGGGATATGGAGAGCTGCAAGGCACCTCACATGCGCTCCAGTCAGCAAGTGGCAGCGGCGTCTGAAAGGAAGGGAATGAGAGTATCCTCATCCCTGTGCCACTGAGGAAGTGCGTATAGTGAATCACGCCGTGAGGTAGGGGTGGCGTCGCTCTACCAAAGCCAGAAGTCTGTATCGTCCTAGAATCCTAAGATGCCGCACTATACCTCCCTCACAGTGATGTCCTAAACCGTCAAGAAGCGATTCACTAAATGAACCCCCGATCCAAAGAAAGAGAGAGGGGTCGCCGTTGTACGCTGTGCAGTGTGCATGCAGGCGCTTTTCTCAAACTGCACGGCCACCTGTGCTTCCACGCGCCCTCACCTTGGCATCGCGGTGCAGCAGGCATTGCAGCAGCGGCAGCACGGCGCCCGACTGGAGCACGTCCACCACGCCCTCCTGCACGCCGCACGCCAGACTGCCCACCGCCGCCGCTGCCTGCTGCACCACCGCCGGGTCCGATGCCTCCTGCAGGATGGCCACCAGCCTGATGCGCACGGGGGACAGCCCGGCACGCACGCACGCACGCACCCAGGCAGGCAGTAAGCAAGGGGTTATTACGGAGAAGCAGAGGTGTGATTGCCCGGGGGAGAGAAACGCCAGGCCCATGAGGCCCCACCGCGCAGCAGACGGCGAACCACTTCCTGCAAGGGACCCTAACCCAAACCACTCCTACTCCACCCGCACATGTGTCCCCGGCTATAACTACAGTGGCACGCACGGGCGGCAAGTGCAACGCCTGCGGACCTACACGCTAGGGCGAACCCACGTGCCGCTGCGGGCTCCGGTTAACCCCCGTTTGGCGCAGCCAGTGGTTAAGGGAGCGGGGTGTTACGGCAACGGCGGCAGGGGCGAGGAACGGGGGACGCGGAGGTAGGGAAGGGCGGGGGAGGGGAGGGAGGGCGCACAGCCCAAGGAGGGACGAACAGCGGTCGCACGCAACAAGAAAAGGAGACACGCGGGAGGGTGGGGGGGAAGGGGAGGGGAGGTCGGAAACTGGGGGCAACTAGGAGCGGGGAGGGGCACGAGGAAAGCGGGTGGGGGAACTGCACGTGGGCCAGGGCGTGGACCGCGGAGCCACGGCTCCAAGCGAGCAGAAACGGGGAAGGGGAGGGCGAAGGGGACGGGCGCACCTGGGCGCGGTAGTGGCAGCGCACCTGGGCACGGCGCGCAGCCGGATGAAGGCGAGCTTGCGCGTGCGGCTGCCGATGACGGCGTTCTTCACGTCGCGCACCGCCCGCAGCCGCACCTTCGCGTCGCCCGCCGCCAGCGCCGCCACCAGCTCCTCCGCCCGCTCCGCGCGCCGCCCCGCCTCGCCGGGACGGCTGGCCGCCGCCGCTGGCATGCTGCCACGCCTGTTATAGGACTTCCTAGGTTTAGTATCCTGGGGATATCAGGAGCACTTTTGTATACTCACTGCATTCAAGGCCTAACGTGCGTGCGGTAGCTGAAATCACGGCGTCGCGTGCCGTGTCGTGCGTGTTTGTCTGGCTGAGAGTCGTGATTGCGCAGTCGCTTTGGCGACTCAGCCAGCACGATAAATCGAACTGTTCTTCTCCTTATCTCAGGGCACGTCCAAATAGTACCACTGATTGCGGTGCAGTAATTTGCTAACCGATTCAAAGCGTTCGAACAGCAATCTAGAATGGTCGGGTATCGGCGTGTAAAAAGTAGCAGGAAAACGGAGATTCGACATGAGTCACAGATGAACTCTGTTATCAGTGTTTAAAGCCCGTAGCCCAAATCCCTCAAACCCAGTGCGTTTGGAAGCTTGGGATGGCCTATGCGAAGTCCTGTACGAAAGTTCGCCATTTTTTCAGTTGCATAGCAACCCTTTGCAGACGTTCTGACATTTGGGGGGCCTCGGTGTACTTTTAGCAACTACGAACAATTTTAGGGGGTAGCAAAGAAATTTGTCGAGCAATAAGCTTTTGGGCAACTACGCAACTTTTTTAACAGGCCTGTGTAACAACATTGGGCTCGACGGCCTGTTACAACATTGGTACGTGTTTGGAATTAGTAATTCCTTACTGAGGCTTGCTACAGGGCGTACAACTCGAAGAGTCCCGAACCAGCGATAGGCTTCCAGACCTTTCAGTTCGAGCCTTCTGGGCCTTCTCGGACCTCGCTTCGACACATCGAGGCCCATTGATACATTTCTCAAATCTTCCGAACCTACGTCCAGGATCACCCTAGGTTTCCTATATCTTGTGTTGTCTTTCATTTTATTGTCATTCACTCGTTCACAGTTTCGCCATTGCCCTCCGCGCTACTCAGCAGTTCCATTCATAACAGTGCGTATAGTACCGTAAACCCCCGGATATATGACCCTAGGGTTTTGAATCATACCCTGGAGAATTTATGGGGTGGGTCTTGAATGAGGAGTTGCAAATAAGTTACCCGGGACTTAAGTTGTACGCCTATGGAATGCGTAATTGGAAGTGTAATTCAGCGTCCCGTTATCAAACCAATCCACAAGCCTCGACTTTGAGCTGTTTCGGCTATGGTGCATGGTAGTTTAGACACATACATGTGCAGATTCGGCATCTGCCAATATGTCTCCATCAGCCGAAATACAGCCAATCGAAGAACGCTTCGGCGGCACAGCTACAAGCAGGGCGGGAAAATTCCTGCACCTGCATTGCTGTCGTTGGCAGGTGGGTGCTGTCAAGATGCCTCGTGCAACTTCACAGGTGCCGACGGCTTGGATGCCCTGCTTTGAGCATCAACGGTTGTGGAACATGCTGCGTCGTCCACCAAGGCGACGCGCTGCTAACCCTCGTGCCATGCAGCACTCCATAATCGGTGCTGTGGCGAGGTTTGCCTTGGCGCCTTCAAGGCGGGCTTCATTGGGGTGACTTCCTTGTGGTCACGTTATGTTTCCTCTCCTGCTCTCACGGCCTTACTGCTCTATCGTCTACCGTGCTCCAGCTCGCGCGTTGTTCGTTCCTGCTTGATGACTGTGGCTCACTCCCAATCGCCATACCGACTGGTCAAAGAATCTGCTTAAATCGCATTCAGACGATGGGATCCAGGTGTGCTCTAGCAAGTAAGTATAGGTTGCCTGCTGCAGCTCAATCCCATCATGCCTCCAAGCACTAGAAGTGGTCTTGGCGCCATAATCAAACGTCGCACCGGCACGAGCCATGCGCTAGATCGATGGCTGTCTGTTCCTCCCGCTCCGCCAGCCCCACCCGCGGCTCCTGCCCCTCCCGCGCCACCGGCGCCTCCCGCTCCTCCCACCCCTCCTAGCCAGTGTGTGCTTCCTCTCGGTCTCCGATACCGTACCGACCTATTTCCCGAACTGTGCGCCAATTTCGACGGCGTGTTCGAGGAGGAGGATGTCCATGCCGACGATGTCCACTTCATCGACGGCACGGCAGACGACGACCAGACAGATGACGCCGACGACGTCAGCGACGTCGACGACGAGGACGACGGGCCCAACCCCAATTTCCGTGTTCCTGCCTACCCCACTGGCAGGCATTCGCGCGAAGATTGGGAGGTCAACTATGATGCTTCCTCTCCTTCTCCCCGCTCCCGCCCAACGAAAGGTTTGTGGCGTTCCCGCACGGTGAATGAGAAAGTTTGCTGGCTGCAGTACATGGACGCCAACAACCTCTCCGTCCGCGCTACCGCCAAGAAGGTGGGTGTCCAGCCCGTCAGCATTCGCCGCTGGATGAAGGACCGCAGACGCCTCGAGAATGCGGCCTCCTGTCGGAAGCGGCTCCATGGCGCGGGCTGCCGCTCCCTGTACCAGAGATGGAAATCTGGGTTTAGAGGAAGCTTTTCCACCATCGCCAACTCGGCTTCCCTGTTTTCGTCAACCTTCTCCGCCAATGGAGCCTCGGGTACGTGGCAAAGAACCACCCTGGCGTCGAGTGGAAAGCCTCTTCGCGCTAGACGCAGCGGATGTGCGCACGGTTGGGGTTGAGTGTTCGCGTGAAGACCAAAATTGGTCAGCGCTTGGCGGCCGGTAGGTGGTTGTACGTTTGGTGTCTTGTGCATGTCAACAATTTTTTACTCTCCCTGCTGTCAACACGACGAATCTCTGTATCACTCTTGCATCACAAATACCGTGCTATGCTCAGCGGACATGGGTTAATGCTAGTCCCTTTCCCCTTCCTATTCCGCATTGAGTCCTCCGGCCCTCTGCCTGGCAGACATCAAGCCCAAGGCGCAGAGCTTTTGGCGTTTTTGTCGCTGCCAGGTCTTCAACAGGGCCATCCCGAACAACCTCATCATCAACGCCGACCAAACGGCGTTCTTCCTCGAGATGCCGCAAGAACGCACCGTCGAGCACAAGGGCATTCGGACGGTGCATGTGCGGACTGTGGGATACGAGAAGGAGAGAGTCACCGTTATGCTCGCATGCACTGCCGCCGGTGTCAAGCTCCCCGCTTATGTGGTCTTCAAGCGCGTGCGGCCGCCGAAGGTGCAAGTGCCGCCAAGTGAGTGACAGCAGTGCATTGCTGCCCGTCAGCTTTCCTTCAACGCCGAATTGCTTACTGTGGGCACTGTCGGCTTGTAAATCCGATTCAGGTTTCACGATCCGCAACTGACCATGCGCATTTGCTTGTCGTTGTTTGTGTTCGCAGACGTCATCATCCGCGCCTAACCCAAGGGGTGGATGGACGAGGGGCTCGTAAATGATTGGATTACGTGAGTCCTCGCACCCCATGTCGCCCCTCAGCCCAGTAGGCCGTGCCCTACAAGCCTCGTGGTCCTTGATTCTTACCGTGGACACCAGAGGGACGGCGTGAAGCATACGATGCGGCTCTTCAAAATGACTCCCGCCGTCATCCCCGCTGGCTGCACCTCCGTGCTGCAGCCTCTCGACGTAGCCGTGTTCAAGTCCTTCAAAGCTGGCGTCCGCGCCGAGTACAGCGACTGGTTCACAAATGTCGGCATCAACTCTTTCACCCATGCTAGTAAGGATCGTGTTGTTGCACTGTTTCTGCCCCGATTATGCAATCCATGCTTCTGAATACACACTTCATCTGCGCGCTGCCTTATTGCGCAGGTAACCTCAAGAAGCCCCCGCCTGAAGAAGTGCTGCGCTGGGTCGGCAAGTGCTGGGTGGCGGTCCCAGTGGCCCTCATCCAGAAAGCATTCAAGGTGACGGGCATCTCCTGTGCCCTCGACGGGAGAGAAGACCACCTGATCCTGCGCCATCTAAAGGCCTTGGCGCCGGACGAGGTGGACGTGACTGATGACGTCGGCTCTGTGGGGTCCGAGGGCGACAATTCCTTCTCCGCAAACGTCCCGGAGGAGGCCGAGGATGCAGAGCTGGCTGCGGAGGAGGAGGATGACGAGGACAAGGACGAGGACAAGGGGGAGGAAGAGGCTGAGGAAGTGGAGGCGGTTGTGGAGGAGTACATGGCGGAAGAGGTGGCGCTGGATGATGAGGAGGAGCTGGATGAAGAGGACTTCGACGACATCGATGTGTCCGTTACAGCGGTGCTGTGCGGCATCAACCCCATGCCTGCCGGGGGTGAGCAGAGCGCCGCGCCAAAGGCACTTGAACTGTTGCCCCGTATGACAGCCGTTCAGCAGCTAAATGCCACAGTCGAAGGCTATGGTGAATCAGTGGAAGAAGATGACGATAGTGAGGATGAGGATGGTGGGAAATATTGCAACAACAAGTACGATGTTTTCTGGAACATGCTGTAGTGTCTTCAACTTCTGATTGTTACACAGGCCCTAACAATACTATACGCATGCACAACAGACGCATTCACACACACTCAAGATAAGACAGTTTACCGTGCATGAACCAAAATCAACGAAAAGACAAGCACGCCATGGGGTCAAACGCATGTAGAGCATATCCAGAGATAATGCATGGCACACAAAAAGAGCTAAAGTATGATCAACTGCTTATCAATTACTGATGCCCAATATAGGGACCTCGCCAACCCCCTCCTCTCATGCCTTACCCCTCGTCCCCCCTTCACCTTCATCTCGTCCCCTTCCCCCAGCCCATCCCAACCCTTCCCTAGCCCTTACCTAATTCTTTTCCCCCACACTTTACCCTGGCCCATCCTTTCCTCGCTCCCTTCCTTTACCCGCTCCCCCTTTCCTTCGAAATGACAATTCTCGCATATTTCTCGCCGCTATTCGTATGTAAACTGGATGAAAGGGCGAGAACAGACATAATGGAATTGAAGGAATGTTGCCAGCAGCAAAGCACCTTAGCACCAGCAAGAGTGACAGCAGTTTAGCAGCAGGATAGACAACAACTGCAGCCTAGCAATAGCAGCAACCTCGCAAGCTGCAGCACCAACAACCTAGCAAGCAGAAGCAACAGCAGGAGTACCACCACCACCCTAGTAACAACAATCGCCGCATAGAAACTACAACCACCTCCTATTCCTCACAGTTAGAGGCATTTATTAGGTCAGAAACATGTGGCTAAACAAAAGCGACGAGCAAGTGATGTGCAGAGGAAATGGCAGAAAGGGTTGCAGGGCGAGTGGAGGAGGATGAGAGCTCACAGTTACAAGGATGCGAGCTCGAGTGGTTAGTGGGCGGACAGTTTTTGCTTGATGCCAATGAAATGTTGGAAATGGGCACAAGAATGAAACAAAATGGAGGGGGAGG